TAGGGGGGTCCACGTTTCGCAAGCGTAGAGCAGGGAGGGAATGACCGTGGCCGAGAAGACCTCACACACACACACACACATATACACACACACATAGACACACACAGCACGGCACGGGTGCGACGCGAGGCTTGGACGCGCGCCTCTTAACGAGTCCGCGGCACGTGGTGGCACCGCCTGCCACGCGTGCGGCCACACACACACAGAGAGAGTGAGAGACACGAGTGGGCGAGTGGTGTTAGCGAGCGCCTATTAGGGGCGACGCGGGCACACGAGGGTAGGCAGCCCCACGCACCGTGCACTCGACTCAGGCCGTGCACTCGATCTGCGGGAGCGACACCACCGCTTCGATTATTCGCCGCGAACGCGAACCGCTCCGTGCGCTAACCGCTGCGCCACCGCTCCCCGCACGAGCGCGTGGCGCCGACGAACAAGAGTGGACCGAGTAATTCGCCCCTCGCTGAAAGCCGTTCGCGGTTAGGAGCGAATTAATTAATGGCGATCTTCAGGAATTCTTAATTTAATGGGCACATCACCACCACACGAGGCACACACACACAAGACAAATACACAGATAGCCTTCACGGGCTGTGGGGGCAAGTGCGGTTAGCGAGCACCTAATGAAGACCGGCACTGTGGCACACGGAAGGGATGGGTGGTCAGCAAACAACGCCCGGCCGCCTTTGTCTCCCTAGTGGGGATGTTCAGGTACTCTTTTGAGGCTGAGTCGACGTATAGGGGAGGATTGGTGACCGGTACAGATATTCGCCACTGTTTATGGTTGTGAGCCGGAATCGGAGTCGGGTCGCTGGGTTCGTAGCGCATTGCACTAAACATTGGGCCACCACTCCCCACAAATACACACGGACACACTCACATATACCGTACACACAGCCACACACACACACAAATACACACAATCACCCATACACACACTCACATATACCGTACACACAGCCACACACACAAATACACACAAATACACACAATCACCCATACACACACACTCACATATACCGTACACACAGCCACACACACAAATACACACAATCACCCATACACACACTCACATATACCGTACACACAGCCACACACACAAATACACACAAATACACACAATCACCCATACACACACACTCACATATACCGTACACACAGCCACACACACAAATACACACAATCACCCATACACACACACACATATACCGTACATACAAACGCGTACATCTATACATTCGCATATACAAACATTTACACACGTACATATGCACACATGCACACTCACTCGTACACACAACGGCACAATCACTCAACTATACACTTATACACACACACATATATATACACACACGTATATATAAACAAATTCGTACACATCTACACACTCAAATATATACAAAGACCTCCTCGTACTTGCCCCAACAAATTGTTGGGGCAAGTGCTGTTAGCGAGCAGCACCTATGAAGGCCGGCACGGCACATGAGGGGGTGGGTGGCCAACACCACGCCCGGCCGCCTTTGTCTCCCTAGTGGCGATGTTTACTACACACCGCACCAGGTACTCATTTGGGGCCGAGTCGACCTAGGGGGAGACCCAGCACTGCTTCAGACAATCGTCACTGGAGTTGGCCGTGAGCGGCAATCGCCCTGGGGATTGTCGGGGCGCTAACAGTGACACCACCGCTCCCCGCACCAATACACATCCACACCGCACCGCCGTGTAAGCACGCGTGCCTACGTACGGTGCGAAAGAAGTTAAACATACATACCCATCTGCACGCACGTACAAAAGACAAAGATTCCCCATATAGCCTCCACAGCTTGCTGGGGCAAGTGCTATTAGCGAGCACCTATGAGGCCTGCAAGGGCACACGAGGGGGTGGGTGACCAGCACCGCGCCGCCTTTGTCTCCCTAGTGGCGATGTTTACACACCGCACCGGGGATCCATTTGAGGCTGAGTCGACCTAGGGGAGGACCGGGTACGGACAATCGTCAGGGGCGTTGACCGTGAGCGGGATATCGAACTCGGGCCAAACCGGGTTCGTAGCGCAGCGCGCTGACCGTGACACCACCGCTCACCACACCAATACACTCCCAGCACGCGTGGCGACGTGCGGTGCGAAAGAAGTTCAACATTGGTGCACATCTGCAGCGGCGCTCAGCTGTGTCGAGTCCCCCGTGGTGGAGGGGCGAGTGCGAGCAGCTGCGGCTCAAGAGCCCTTGGAGAGTCACGCGCGCACGTGTCCACACTCGGGGAGTTGATACACAGGGGCATGGGCAGACACCCCACCCCCCGTGTAGCCCACGGCGACTGTAGGGGCAAGTGCTGTTAGCGAGCGGCGCCTATGAAGGCCGGGCTCGGCACGCGAGGGGGTGTGGGTGGCCAGCACCGCGCCCGGCCGCCTTTGTCTCCCCAGTGGCGATGTTTACACAGCGCTCCAGGTATTCTTGTTGAGGCTGAGTCGACCTTTCGGGAGGCCCAACACCGGTACGGATAATCGCCAGCCGGTGTTGGGCCGTGAGCGGGAATCGAACTCGCCGGGTTTCGCCGGGTTTCGTAACGCAGCGCGTCAAAACCACGACTCTACCGCCCCCCACACAGAGACCCACCGACACATCGAGACCCACCGACACACAGAGACCCACCGACACACACAGAGACCCACCGACACACAGAGACCCACCGACACACAGAGACCCACCGACACACACAGAGACCCACCGACACACAGAGACCCACCGACGCACAGAGACCCACCGACACATAGAGACCCACCGACACACAGAGACCCACCGACACACAGAGACCCACCGACACACAGAGACCCACCGACACACAGAGACCCACCGACACATCGAGACCCACCGACACACAGAGACCCACCGACACATAGAGACCCACCGACACATAGAGACCCACCGACACACAGAGACCCACCGACACATAGAGACCCACCGACACATAGAGACCCACCGACACACAGAGACCCACCGACACATAGAGACCCACCGACACATAGAGACCCACCGACACACAGAGACCCACCGACACATAGAGACCCACCGACACATAGAGACCCACCGACACACAGAGACCCACCGACACATAGAGACCCACCGACACATAGAGACCCACCGACACATAGAGACCCACCGACACATAGAGACCCACCGACACACAGAGACCCACCGACACATAGAGACCCACCGACACATAGAGACCCACCGACACACAGAGACCCACCGACACATAGAGACCCACCGACACATAGAGACCCACCGACACATAGAGACCCACCGACACACAGAGACCCACCGACACACAGAGACCCACCGACACACAGAGACCCACCCACCGACACACAGAGACCCACCGACACACAGAGACCCACCGACACATAGAGACCCACCGACACATAGAGACCCACCGACACACAGAGACCCACCGACACATAGAGACCCACCGACACATAGAGACCCACCGACACATAGAGACCCACCGACACACAGAGACCCACCGACACACAGAGACCCACCGACACATCGAGACCCACCGACACACAGAGACCCACCGACACACAGAGACCCACCGACACACAGAGACCCACCGACACACAGAGACCCACCCACACATAGAGACCCACCGACGCACAGAGACCCACCCACCGACACATAGAGACCCACCGACACACAGAGACCCACCGACACACAGAGACCCACCGACACACAGAGACCCACCGACACACAGAGACCCACCGACACACAGAGACCCACCGACACATAGAGACCCACCGACACACAGAGACCCACCGACACACAGAGACCCACCGACACACAGAGACCCACCGACACATCGAGACCCACCGACACACAGAGACCCACCGACACACAGAGACCCACCGACACACAGAGACCCACCGACACACAGAGACCCACCGACACACAGAGACCCACCGACACATAGAGACCCACCGACACACACAGAGACCCACCGACACACAGAGACCCACCGACACACAGAGACCCACCGACACACAGAGACCCACCGACACACAGAGACCCACCGACACATAGAGACCCACCGACACACAGAGACCCACCGACACACAGAGACCCACCGACACACAGAGACCCACCGACACACAGAGACCCACCGACACACAGAGACCCACCGACACATAGAGACCCACCGACACACAGAGACCCACCGACACACAGAGACCCACCGACACACAGAGACCCACCGACACATAGAGACCCACCGACACACACAGAGACCCACCGACACACAGAGACCCACCGACACACAGAGACCCACCGACACACAGAGACCCACCGACGCACAGAGACCCACCGACGCACAGAGACCCACCGACACATCGAGACCCACCCACCGACACACAGAGACCCACCGACGCACAGAGACCCACCGACACATCGAGACCCACCCACCGACACACAGAGACCCACCGACACACAGAGACCCACCGACACATCGAGACCCACCCACCGACACACAGAGACCCACCGACACACAGAGACCCACCGACACACACAGAGACCCACCGACACACACAGAGACCCACCGACACACAGAGACCCACCGACACACAGAGACCTACCCACCGACACATAGAGACCCACCGACACACAGAGACCCACCGACACATCGAGACCCACCCACCGACACACAGAGACCCACCGACACACAGAGACCCACCGACACATCGAGACCCACCCACCGACACACAGAGACCCACCGACACACAGAGACCCACCGACACACACAGAGACCCACCGACACACATAGAGACCCACCGACACACAGAGACCCACCGACACACAGAGACCTACCCACCGACACATAGAGACCCACCGACACACAGAGACCCGCCGACACACAGTGACCCACCCACCGACACACAGAGACCCACCGACACACAGAGACCCACCGACACACACTGATCGTGCGCCCCCCTCTCCCCCTGTGCCCCCCACAGGCGAGGAGCGCTACGTGTGCTGGCGATGCCGCAAGTCGTTCCGCTACCCCAACACCCTCAAGGCGCACTCGCGCTTTAGCTGCCCCTGCGCTCCCGGGGCTCCGCGCTCCCCCAGGGGGGGGCCGGCCCCCCCCCTCCGCCTGCTGGGGCCCGTGCCGCCTCTCCTCCGCGCCCATCCCCTCTCTCTTCGCGCATCCCAGGCGTCCCCCCGCCGAGCAGGACGGGGCCCTGGACATGAGCGTGCCGGGGGCCAAGGCGGGCGGCGAGGCGGAGGGGGGCCCCGGGCCCCGATCTGCGGGGGGCGGCCCCCTCGGCTTCCACCCGAGCATCAAATCCGCGTTCCGCCCGCCGCTCCGAATCGGGCCCCCCCCCGCCCCCTCCATCCAAAGCGGCGGCGGCTGGAGGCGGCGGCAGAGCGGAGCTGTGCGGCCCCGCCAAGGGGTTCGCGTCCCCCCACGCGGGCGGGGGCTACCCCTTCGAGCCGAGGGGCACGGGCGGGGTGCCCCGGGGGGTGGTGCCGCCGCTCCCCCCGGGGCTCGAACCCCCTCCGTGCCTCCCGCCGCGCCACGCCGCCGCGGCCGCGGCCGCCGCCGCCGCCGCGGCCGCGCTGCTCACCTACAATCGCTGCTACTTCCCGCTGCCCGCGCTGCCCTCGGCGGCGCTGCCCTTCCACCGCCTCGACTGCGACGCCTTCCCCGCCGACTACGGCCTGGGGCTGCTGCCGTACGCCTCCATGCTGGCGGCACCCCCGCCCTGCGCCAAGCTGCTCCACTTGGGCGCAGGAGGCGGAGCGGCGTTCGCCGCGCGCGGCGGCGGCGGCGGCGGCGTCCTGGGCGGCGTCCTGGGCGGTGCTGGTGGCGGTGGTGGTGGTGGCGGTGGTGGCGGTGGTGGAAGCTACCTGGCACCGCCAGGTAAGGAGCTGTCCGTCATGACCAACATCGACCGCGAGATCGCGATGCACACGCAGCAGCTCTGCGAGCTCGCCGCCGAGAAGAGCCGCTCCCACCACCACCACCACCAGCAGCACCACCACCAGCACCACCAGCAGCACCACAACCTCAACCACCACCACCACCACAACCACCTCGACTCGGCAGCCGCCGCTGTCGCCTCGTCGCCCGCCTCCCAGCTCCTGGCGAGCGGCGGCGGCGGCGGCGGCGGCGTCGTCGTGGCGTCGAAGCCCAAGAAGGGCCACCTGTGCCTGTACTGCGGCAAGCTCTACTCGCGCAAGTACGGCCTCAAGATCCACATGCGCACGCACACGGGCTACAAGCCGCTCAAGTGCAAGGTGTGCCTCAGGCCCTTCGGCGATCCCAGCAACCTGAACAAACACATCCGCCTGCACGCCGAGGGGAACACCCCGTACCGGTGCGAGCACTGCGGCAAGGTGCTGGTGCGCCGGCGCGACCTGGAGCGCCACGTCAAGTCGCGACACCCCGACCGCTCGGCGCCCCCCCCAGCCAACGCCGTCGGGCCCGGGGCGCAGCAGCAGCTGCAGCAGCAGCTACTGCTGCAGCCGCGCCGCGAGATGTTGGTGGCGGGGGGGGAGCGCGTCAGAGCCGTCGGGCAGTTCTACGGCCTCGGGCGGGTGCACGCTGAGCAGCGGCGCGGCCGATACGGACACGTGGACGCCGCTCACGAAGATGTCGACGATGGCGACGATGTCGTCGTCGGCGGCGGCGGCGGTGGTGGTGATGATGATGATGATAGCGACATTGATGTGTGTTCCACGGAGGGACCCAGCGAGCCGGACTCGGAGAGGAAGCGCGAATGAATGAGTGAAGATCCGCGCCTGCGCGCACGTGCGCACGAGGAAGAGGCGTCGCGAACCGTACACGCCGATTGTCGCGAACCGTACGCGACGACTGTCGCGAATTGTACGCGACGCGGGTCGCGTCCTCCGAGCGAACCGGCGGTGACTTCCCCCGCTCGCGTCTCGCCGGGCCGCGTCGCGAATCCCGCGGCTCCAAGTCGCGACTCAATGACGTTATTTATTATTGTCGCGAATGGCGCGGAGGTGGTTGACTGCGGCCGCCTTTGTATCCCCCAGTGGTAATTGTTCTCGTGTCACCCAATGTACTCGTTGACGGCTGAGTCGACCTACGGGAGGCCCGCGACGTGTTCAGATGTTCGTCACTGATGGTGGCCATGAGCGGGAATCGAACTGGGCGATGACTGCTGCACCACCGCTCCCCGCATCCACACACAAAGACAAAGATCCCCCGTATAGCCTTAACAGACTGTTGGGGCAAGTGCTGTTAGCGAGCAGCACCTCTGAAGGTCGTCACGGCACACGAGGGGATGGGTTTCCAGCACCACACCCGGCCGCCTTTGTCTCCCCAGTGGCGATGTTTACTACACACCGCACCAGGTACTCATTTGAGGCTGAGTTCACCTAGGGGAGGCCCGGGACCGGTTCAGATAATCGTCACTGGTGGTGTTGGCCGTGAGCGGGAATCGAACTCGTGATGACCGGGTTCGTAGCGCAGCGTAGCGCTAACCGCTACACCACCACTCCCCACCCCGTCGATAAAAAGACAATAACACCACCAACACCACCACCACCACCACAAACAACAACAATCTTGATTTGAAGCTTTCGTGACTGCATTAATCCATACTCTCTGGTTCTTTCGGTAAAGTCACGTAGGTATAAAATCAAATTAAATCACGACGTTTCGATTGAAACACAAGCAATCATCACCAGATGGGAAACCCACAGCAATAAATATTTTTGTTGAAGTGGGATTATTTAATTTTATACCTACGTGACTTTACCGAAAGTAACAACAACACCACCACCAACAACAACAACACTACCACCAACACCACCAACAACAACCGCCATTCGCCACTAAGTGGCGGTGACGTCAACACGACGCTCGTGCCAGGCTAGGTGCACTTTGAGGCCACGTGAAGTGTTTGGACGACCGCCGGCAAGAGGTCACGGGGCAGACCCAGCAGGTGTCACGGGTCGACTGACTGCGATGACTGCCCGATGCACCACCTGTGTGCCCTCTACTGAAGACTAAAGACACACACGCATTCACACGTTCACACATTCACACGTACACACAGACACATGTTTGGTGACACAAGGAAGCGACTCATTCGGGATGATGTCCGACATGTAATTGTTTCTCTCTGTCTCACCTCTCACACAGCCGCGTCTCACTGCACTGCCCCTGTCCGTGTGTGGTCGGTGGTGCCTGTGGTGTCATTCCGCGCGTGTCTATCGCTCTGTTCGTATTAAAGAACCCTGGGTTTGACTTCGCGTGCGCGCGTCTGTTTGTCTCGAATGCGGGCTCCAGTCCGAAACGTCGGGCTCGGCGTCACGCATACCGCATCACGTGGGGAGCTCCCCACGTCACCCCCACGCGTCACCAAATATCCTCGACGACGCTGACGATGATGATGATGATTCTTAGGCGATTGTAAAACTGTTCATTTCCGTTTTTTAAAAGTTTATTTTTAAGTCCATTTTATTTTATACCACCTGGGCCTCCGAAGGAACCAAGAGAGAACATCTCACGTGGCACCAACCGGCATCACGGTGGCTAGGAGATGTTGATTACCTCGCAGGTATACATGAGGTCGTGGGTTCAACCCGACCCTGACGCCTGCTGCTGTATATTGGAGTTTGCGTGTCTCTCTCTCATCATCATCACGGTAGCTAGGAGATGTTAACTACCTCGCCAGGTACACAGAAGGTCGTGGGTTCTATCCTGACCCTGACGCCTGCTGCTGTATATTTGGAGTTTGCGTGTCTCTCTCTCTCATCATCATCATCATCACGGTGGATAGGAGATGTTAACTACCTCGCCTGGTATACAGGAGGTCGTGGGTTCGATCCGACCCTGACGCCTGCTGCTGTATATTTGGAGTTTGCGTGTCTCTCTCTTTCATCATCATCACGGTGGCTAGGAGATGTTAACTACCTCGCTAGGTATACAGGAGGTCGTGGGTTCTATCCCGACCCTGACGCCTGCTGCTGCTGTATATTTGGAGTTTGCGTGTCTCTCTCTTTCTCATCATCATCATCACGGTGGCTAGGGAATGTTAACTACCTCGCCTGGTATACAGGAGGTCGTGACGCCTGCTGCTGTATATTTGGAGTTTTCGTGTCTCTCTCTCTCATCATCATCACGGTGGCTAGGAGATGTTAACTACCTCGCCTGGTATACAGGAGGTCGCGGGTTCAATCCCCACCCTGACGCCTGCTGCTGCTGTATATTTGGAGTTTTCGTGTCTCTCTCTCTCATCATCATCACGGTGGCTAGGAGATGTTAACTACCTCGCCTGGTATACAGGAGGTCGCGGGTTCAATCCCCACCCTGACGCCTGCTGCTGCTGTATATTTGGAGTTTGCGTGTCTCTCTCTCCATGGTCACGTGGGAATTTTTCTCCGGGTCCCCCGGTGTTCCCCGTCCACATTTAGAATTAAGACCGCGCTCTTTTAGAGTATTTGGCCGCTATAATAGTTCCACACGATAAAGGCAACTTCGTCGGGCTATCGTTTATGAGAGCCAGATGGCGTCTAAAAACCAGCTACATTGCAGCTGGAAATAAAATAAAAAGAGTTGACACTTTTAGTTTAGGAGATGTACTCCCCAAGGGTTTGTGCTTAACTCCAAGAGAATAACGTGGCCTCTGCTTCAGCCCGACTCGGAACTAGTTCTGTGAACTCTCTGAAGTAGGTCGGGGTGACACGGAGTGTGTGAACTGGAGTCGACTCGTGTGTACGTTGCGTGTACGTTCCGTGGACGTTGCGTGGACGTTGCGTGTGTGTGTGTGCACGTTGTGTGTACGTTGCGTGTGTGTGTGTACGTTGTGTATGTGTGTACATTGTCTGTACGTTGTGTGTGCGTTGTGTATGTGTGTATATTGTACGTTGTGTGTACGTTGTGTATGTGTGTACATTGTCTGTACGTTATGTGGCGTTGTGTATGTGTGTATATTGTACGTTGTGTGTACGTTGTGTATGTGTGTACATTGTCTGTGCGTTGTGTGTGCGTTGTGTATGTGTGTATATTGTACGTTGTGTGTACGTTGTGTGTGTATATTGTACGTTGTGTGTACGTTGTGTGTACGTTGTGTGTGTATATTGTACGTTGTGTGTACGTTGTGTGTACGTTGTGTGTGTGTACATTGTACGTTGTGTGTACGTTGTGTGTGTGTACGTTGTGTGTGTGTTAGAGAATGTGTGTGTTAGAGAGTGTGTGTGTTAGAGAGTGTGTGTGTTAGAGAGTGTGTGTGTTAGAGAGAGGGTGTGTGTGTGTGTGTTAGAGAGAGTGTGTGTTAGAGAGTGTGTGTGTGTTAGAGAGGGTGTGTATGTGTGTTAGAGAGGGTGTGTGTGTGTGTTAGAGAGTGTGTGTGTGTTAGAGAGGAGCGATAGTGTAGCGGTTAGCGCTACGCTGCGCAATGAACCTGGCGACCCGGGTTCGATTCCCGCTCACGGCCAACACCAGTGACGATTATCTGAACCGGTCCCGGGCCTCCCCTAGGTCGACTCAGCCTCAAATGAGTACCTGGTGCGGTGTGTAAACATCGCCACTAGGGAGACAAAGGCGGTCGGGCGTGGTGCTGGCCACCCACCCCCTCGTGTACCGTTCCGGCCTTCATAGGTGCTCGCTAACAGCACTTGCCCCTACAGTCTGTTAAGGCTATATGGGGGATCTGTGTGTGTGTTAGAGAGTGTGTGTGTTAGAGAGTGTGTGTGTTAGAGAGAGTGTGTGTGTGTTAGAGAGTGTGTGTGTGTGTGTTAGAGAGTGTGTGTGTGTGTGTTAGAGAGTGTGTGTGTTAGAGAGTGCGTGTGTTAGAGAGTGTGTGTGTTAGAGAGTGTGTGTGTTAGAGAGTGCGTGTGTTAGAGAGTGTGTGTGTGTTAGAGAGTGTGTGTGTGTTAGAGAGGGTGTGTGTTAGAGAGTGTGTGTGTGTGTGTGTTAGAGAGGGTGTGTGTGTGTTAGTGGGAAGCGGTGGTGTAGTGGTTAGCGCGCCCGTTCACGGCCAACACCAGTGATGATTCATTATCTGAACCAGTTAGGGCGTCCCCTAGGTCGACTCGGCCTCAATCGAGTACCTGGTGCGGTGCGGAAAAGACACCGTCACTGGGGAGACAAAGACGGCCGGGCGTGGTGCTGTCCACAACACCCCCTTGGGTGACCCAATGAGCTATTTGAGCACTGAGTTACCCCGTCTCTCTCCCTCCTCGCCCCCCACCCCACTCCACCGTGACGAGCGTGGTGAAGTATGCCCAGACAGCATCCACGCACACCGACTAAAGCATGGAAGAGGTCCTCATCCAGCAGTGGATTGACAGAGGCCTGCACGATATCATTCCTCTTCGCAGCTTCGCTCTGAGACACTCAATTCTGAAACCGACCTAAGAGACTTCGTTTATTGCTTGTGCGCAAAGCGATTGCTGCTGACAACAAAACACAAGTGGCTCACGAAGCAAGGTCCCTGTGGCTGATGGGATGTGGACAGAATTATCGTACTTTGTTGTTGCTGCTGTTGCTGTTGTTGTTGAGGGGCAAGAGTATGTCCGTTGCTCGTTGCTCTGCGGAGATGGAGCTGATGTGGCACGGGAGGATGTGGAGCTGAGTGGACTTGCCGAAGACCGCTACCAGCGGTGTCAAGATCGGCCTCTGTGCAGGAGGCTCGTGAAGGACGCTGCTACTGGGCAGCTGGAGGCAGTCGCCCTCCGGCAACAACGGAGGGCGGAGGAGCGACGCTCACAACAACGAGCGCAGCGCCGGGCGGTTAAAATACAGCAGGTTGGCACGGTAGGAGGTGCAGCTGGTGAGCATCTACCGGTAATCTCAGTCAGCCAACCCACAGCACCATGCTGGGTCTGTCCCGTGACCTCCTGCACCTAGCCTGGCACAGTAGGGGGGCACAGCTGGTGAGCATCTACCGGTCATCTCAGTCAGCCGACCCATGGCACCTGCTGGGTCTGTCCCGTGACCTCCTGCACCTAGCCTGGCACAGTAGGGGGCACAGCTGGTGAGCATCTACCGGTCATCTCAGTCAGCCGACCCACGGCACCTGCTGGGTCTGTCCCGTGACCTCATGACCGGCAGCGAGCCTTCGACACTGCACGTGGCCTCCAGGTGCACCTAGCCTGGCACAGGCGCCGTGGTGACGTCACTGGCTGTTCTGACCGCGTGGGGTTCACGCAGCCTCGGCCTCCCCCCCCACCTC